TTCTCGGGAGGTACAGATGTCCACGGGGGAGACACACTCCTCACTACAGGTGACATGACACACACACACAAAAGTGTGTATGTATTATATATATATATATATATATATATATATATATATATATATATATATATATATATATATATATATATATATATATATATATATATATATATATATATATATATATATATATATATAGCCGTAATTATAAGCTTAATAAGCTACAATTACCGAAAATTTGTCTGTATATTTACTTTAATATCCCGAGTATGATAAGTATACTTAGTTTCACATCCCATGTGTGATAAGTATGCCTACTTTCAATAACCGGAATGATTAGTATGATAAGTAAGTCAGTTATGAAGTATGAGAAGCGCGGGTGGATGTACATTAACATAACCCACACAGCAAAGTTTGTACATAAGTTACAAGACGATTAATAATATTCAGATACACACCCAGCGGGACCACAGCGCCGCCCCGTGTAAAAATTAGATTTACAATTTAAAATATACGATTAGATTTACACCGTGAATATAGTCAAATTTACACATTAGAGCTACAGCCGTCTTACAGATTAATTTACACATTTGAACGACGCCTCTAATTTACACACTGGACTTGCACGTTATATTTACAAGATAGCTTTACAAATGAGATCAATACTATAGACTAGTTGGGATTTACACTACGTTGCCATGACTACAACACCCCCACCCCTTTCCACCATGACTAACCACGTATCAAGGTAACTAACAACGCCTAACGTATACCTAACAACCACTAAGCTAAACCTTATCCTATAACCTATGACTATAACACAGAATAAGGTTGTAAATCCAAACCACAACCCCACAACCTGTCGTCCCTCCCTCCTGCACCCCTGGCGTCGTCACCGTCAGACACCTCCAATTACCAAAGGGAGTGACTAAGGTGTCGGCTGATAACACGGTGCCTTAAATAAGTTATCTTTGTTATCGTTCGTTCCCGTCCGTATGTATGTCTGTAGCGATATGGGCTGCAAGACTAAGTTATTTTTTATTATTATTTTTATGACTTATTATTTGTATTATAATTGGTATAGTAGTATCACATAATATTATACTATAGAAGCATCATTGTATGTAAAATCCTAGCGCTCACTTTAAATTATCCGGCCGCTGAAGCGTTCAACTAGAGTTCCGTGACCGTACAGTATAGCGTTATCTTGCCATTGCGTTAAATTAATCATAGTATGTCACCTGACGTCACCTAACCCGAGCGTTCACCTAGATTTAGTTAATTGCGTTTTTCTACTAAAAAAATAACGTTTAGTTTTCCATATTATTCACCTAGCCATAACGTTCATCTAGCCATAACGTTCAATTTAATCATTATGTTCACCTAGCCATAACGTTCACCAAGCCGCCATAACGTTCACCTAGCCATAACGATCACCTGACTCCAGCAGCTCACCCATAACGTTCATCTTTGTATAACATTCTAATACCCCCAGACGACTACAGATCATTCTCACCAGTAAACCCAATACGCACCTACAGACAAGTGACCTAGCTCCTGTAGAAGGGTGGGGGGGTTATAGGACGTCGACGGAGGCCATGAGTGAGGAGGAGGAGGAGGTGGTTTCGGCCGCCCCTTACACGACCACCGAACTCCTGTAGGGGGCTGTGTATAGAAGGTCTCGGAAAGTATCTAAGTGAGGTTACAGGTGTCGCGTCTCACACACCCACCAAACTGGATGCAAATCTCCCATCGCTTAGGTCAACAGACGGTGCCCAGAGGAGGATGGGGTAGAGGTGAGAGAAGGGGGAGGGTGAGAGAAGGGGAGGGTGAGAGAAGGGGAGGGTGAAAGAAAGAGAAGGGGGGGTGAGAGAAGGGAGAGGGTGAAAGAAGGGGGAGGGTGAGAGAAGGGGGAAGGTGAAAGAAGGGGGGGGAATAGGTTAAAGATTGGGTAAGAATAGGTATATATCCCAACTGAGTGAGCAGGATTGGGTATATATACAGTAAATAAAGTACGATTAGGTATATAGTCTGGAAAGATATTATGATTAGGTACACTGGTATATAGAAGCGGTCTATCTCAATAAGAAAGTTAACATAAGATATATAGAGTTTATGGAATGGTGAAGAAGAATAGGTTTAGTCCTCGATAAGATTGTGGCGCTATGAAAGTAAGAGAACGCAAGATTGGGTGATTATAAAGAGATCGTAAGATTGGGTGTAAAAAATCCTCAAGATACAGTGCATTAAGAGAGAGATAAAGAGATAATGATTAGGTATATAAGGAGACTTCAGATTGGGCGCGCGTGAGTTCCGACTGATTGGCGAATTATCCACTGTAACGGCACTAAGTTAGAAAGGAATAACTATATGCCGGGCCCCAAGATACACAGGGATGAGTTATGTGTGTGGGTGGAGGGGTGTCGCTGGTGGGCGGGCGGACGGGTGGTGGTGGTGGTAGCAAACAGCGGACGGAGGTGAGCGGGTGATGGTAATAGTGGATGGGCGGGTGGATGGTAGTAGCAAATAGTTGACGGGTAGTTGGTGGATATGGATAGACGTGTGGGTGGTGGTAATGGATGGGCGGGTGGGTGGTGGTATGATAGAATGAACGGGCGGGGTTGATGTTAAGAAATTGTTGTGGAAATTGGATGGGTGGTAGGTAGTATAGCAGAAAGTGGGCGGGCGGTGTGGTTTGTTGTAATGCTAAGTGGGTGGGTGACCGTGGGTGGTGGTAGAATAAATTGGGCGGATGGGTGGTAGTGGGCGGATAATAATAGCGGGAATTTTGATGGAAGTAACAGCAGTAAGTAGGCAAGTGGGTGGTGGTATAGCGGACAGGTATAGGTGATGTTAGCGGACAGGTAGGGGTTGTTAGCAGACAGGTAGATGGTATTAGCGGAGAGACAGGTGGTGGTAACGAAGAGACGGGTGGTGGTTGTGGACAGGTAAGAGAGGTAGCAGACAGGTAGGAGAGGTAGCGGACAGGTGAGTGAGGTTAGCGGGGAGGCGGCGCGGTCACCACCATCACCGCTCGCTCGCCGGTAACGGAGATTTCAACCCGCGCGTTCGCTAGTCTCTCTCTACTGTGTTCACAATGTTCAAATAATGTTCAAAATAACTTACTAAATCTCTTCAATCCAGCAGAACATTTAAGGATGTTCGTGAATGATTGCTAGCGCTGTGATTAGTGATTAGTAATTCATGTTCTGATTGGTTATTTATCCTGTGATTGGTGATTTACGTTGTGGTTTACTCATCCGATGTGTATACATATTCTTTATTATTATTAACTGTTTATTAAGTTTACCATACACTCATTTATACATTAATTCTGTCACTATAATTTCCGTTTTTTTAAAGAACACTGACTATACATAATGTACATATAATTATAGCTATTTATGTAGACAGATACATAGACACATACATCCACACTACTTAGTTTCACTCTTTACATGATCACAAACTCAAGATATATGATGACATATTTTTCACTGTGAAGATCTTATGTACAGGACAACACTATAAGAAACGTGAAGGTAAAAATATCATTCTCACACTTTATCCATATTTTTGTCCACATGACCGAGCGGACGAGTTACGCGACTATCCCGTCACTCAAATAGGACATTTCCGGTGTCATGAGGCATGTGTGAGGCAGTCCTTCCCGGATAAATCGCATAATGTGATAACGCCACAATGAATCACATAGCATAGCATGATCTCCGGCGCGCACACGACAAACTAACACGCACACACACACACACATACAATACACACACAGACTACACCCTAACCGACCCTTCCCATTTTTCAACATCGGCGTTTACTTGCGTAAAGTGTGTGTAATAATAATTATAAGTAACAGCAGCAGCAATAGTATAGTAGTAATGGTGTCTTAGATGCAATGGTGACAGTATTACACAGTAGACTTAAAACTAGGAAAGAGCAAGAGTGCAAAGTGTCACTCACTTAAGGAAGTGTGAGACGCGCCCAGAAGCCCTTAATAACAAAACACAGGCAAAGGAAATCCAAAAGGGTGATTTCGCGTCAATAAGAAAAGTAGCATTAGTTTTCGTCACTTTAACAGCAGCAGCTAAGCGCAAAAAATAAAGATCCATCTTGTTGTTAGAATGTTAAAACAGATGTAGCCTTTAAGAGCTAAGATGTGTATTTACCTTCTAACAACTGTCTTGGATCTCGTGTCTCACCGTGAGTTGGGGGAGCAGCCGGAACCTCTGATAAAAGTCTTGGATGATCCTCTACATACTCTTTTAGGCTCAGGGACTGAACCTTATGTTGAAGCTGTGAATCCACCAAGAAGGAGCACAGTAGACCTCCGGCTGCTCCCGTCATCCACACAAGCTAAGACAAGGGTTACGCAGAGGCAACAACTGCCGAAGGAACGAAAAATGTCTTCATCACACTAGGCCAAGCCACTCATCATCATCACCACCACACAAAAACTGGCAACGAAGAGCCCAACGATAACCGTGATGAACCCCTTCTGTGGGAGCTTGGTGTGCATTGCCTCACACTTCCTGCAGTCGAGAAAGGAAAGGCCTCCAAAGTGACCCTTGATAAAAAACTACACAAAAAATATAAACAACCATCTTGACTTGAATCATAGAACTAGTTTTTCCCTTCATTAATAAATAAACGTTCTAGGTAATTCTTGATTAGGGTGAGCTACAATTGTATCATAAAACTTTTTTCTTTAGCATTTGGTTTTAAAGTGACAATGACAACTCCCTCCACACCGACTAATAAATGTGTTTAACATCAGGACAAAGAAATACCTTGTTGTGACAAATTAAGAAAGTAAACTGGACTTCATTTAGTTAGCATATGGCCATTCTGATCCAAAGTGACTTAGATATTCTTTTGCCTTTGACATTATTCATTGGTGGTGAGAGAGGACAGTTGTTGGGCCTGTGGGTGGGCTGCTCGGGCTTGCCACTGATGGGGTCTCATGGCTAGGGTTCGGGCTGTACCTGTACTTGTAGTCTGGATGTTCCTTCATGTGCACCGCTCGCAGTCTCTTCGCCTCGTCGATGAACGGCCTCTTTTCCGTCTCGGAGAGAAGCTTCCACTCGGCGCCGAGACGTTTGGAGATCTCGGAGTTGTGCATCTTGGGGTTCTCCTGAGCCATCTTGCGTCTTTGGCCTCTGGACCACACCATGAAGGCGTTCATGGGCCGCTTGACGCGCTCGGCAGCCGCGTTGGAGGAGGAGGCGCTACTCTTGCTGTTGCTGCTACTGTTGCTCGTGCTGTTGTTGGAGCCGTTGTTGTTATTGTTTGTGCTGGTGTTGTTGTTGTTGGTTGGTGTAGGGACGTGTGTCTGGGGCGGGGAGTGGGCGCTCATGCTGCCCACGGAGGCCAGGGAGGGGGTGGAGAGGGACGAGCTAAGCGAGGAGTTGAGCGAGGTGAGGGAGGAGTGGTGGGAAAGGGAGTATGTGTGGGAATGGGAGTTGTGGTGGGCATGAGGGACGGAATGGGAGTGGGAAGTGTGGGGAGGGAGATGTGGAGAGTGTAAGCTGCCGCCCTTTAGGTCTGGTGGGTCTAGGGTCAGCATGCTGGAGGGCTTGAGCGCCGCGCTGCTGTAGTACTCCAGGGTGGCGGCTTCGCGTGGCTCCTTGTAGCTGATGGGATCGTGTCTGCCGCTGCTACGCCACCGGCGCTCCCACACACTCCGCGCTCCCTCCACCGCCGTAATTTGTTCAGCGCCCGACGCCAGGGCACTGTACGACGTGACGCCGGCAATGGTGACTTCCTTAGTCGCTCGCCGAAGAGGAGTTAGCACTGAATTTACACGTGGTTCTAGGCCAGCACAAGTATTTGAGGCGTTGCACAGGCTTGCTGGGATAGTTAGCAAGTACAGCACCACTTGTTGTCTCCACTCTACACTATTCACTGTATTGTCGCTGGAGTAACCCGGGTCACATGAATGGCACAACAGAGCGCGCTCTATACACGTCCGTTCACTGTGAAAGCCGTCTATTATTTACCTTTAATTTGGCTCCGACTCGGGATGTGTTATCGATTGACTAAACTCCACCAACCACGCAGCATGGCCAATCAGCGCGCGCCTCGCTCCTCCCCCAAGAACACTCCGGCCAATGGGACGGTGGGTGCTTGTGACGTCACATAAAGGGGCGGGCCAATCACATTTTTCAACTTGTATTAGGAGCAGCCGGGTCACACCAAGGAGTACTTGTACAAAATTCGTGATGAGGGTAAGAATCTTACATAGCTATACACACATACCCGTATGGGCCTTATTATCCACACACTCCACCAGCTACGGCTTCAGAATGTGACCTTTAGTTGTAAAGATGGCCGTTTGAGGGTTGACTCAGCGCTGTAAGATTCTCCGCGGCGAGGGAAGAATCTATGTAAACTTGTGGGTAATGTAATACACTCGAACCACCTCCTTCTCCCTCTTCCTTGGTTATCGGAACCTAATATCTAGTTTATGATATCCGCGGTGGGTTCTCTAAGTCCTGGGGCGGATATCCTCACTAGACGTCTGGTTCATTCTCAGAAGTGGTCGACCCGGCTGCGTTGCGTCCCGTATGGTATGGCAAACAACTTCATGGCGCCATATTCAGGAAAGATTTACAATTTTTATGAATTTCCCCCCCGACTAGTGACCACAGCTCCCGCCAGCCAGGTCCCGCTCAGCTGCTGCTCCTGCTGTTGCCGCTGACTGGAGCTGGCAACCGCCCACTCCAGCACTGCCAGATAGCTGCTGTCTCACCAATCTGCTTATCCCTTGTTTTACGCTTTTATCCTCTTCTCTCTTGCTTTTTGGTGTAAATATATCAGTTCTCTGGATATCACTTATTTAGATATTACAAGAGCGGGGGTAGGGCGAGGGCTGTACTACAAGCCGGAGGAAGGGTTAGCAGCCTACAAGTCAGGGAGACATCGCCCCGCCCATCACCCTACAAACTCCGCCCCTTTTGTGACGTCATGAAATCAGATTTTGCGCCAGCCAATAGGGAAACATGTACGACTCCGCCTCAAAATTGAATTTCTGAAACTTGTGCCCGATTTCATCCACCAATTTTCCCAGCTTAATTAGGGGGTTAGTAAATAAAATGGGCACTTAAAATGTTAAATCTTATGATGGTTGGTGTAATCACAGGGTGTCTAGAGTGAGGAATTTGTTAGTTTATTGTGTGGAAGCAGAGGAGAAGAACCAGGCGGGTCTGGGGTCGGGGGGTTGTCACTTAACCTTAGCCGCGAGATGGGCCACCAGCACAGTGACACACACACACACACACACACACATACACACACACACCACAACATAATGTATTCACTAAAACTCTATCTTTACAATGGGGGGTCGTAAGTGGCGCTGATAGTGAACAAAAATGGTATTATCACACACAAAACGGTATTATCTGTGTGCGGGAACGACGCGGCCATTCAAGTGAACCGTGACCTATTATGATGGAGGGTAAACACTATATACTGCCACCAGTAAGCTACTCTTCTTCAACTCTTAAATACCTCTTTTTCTCTCCCCCTCTCTCTCCCCCTCTCTCTTTCACCCTCTCTCTCTCACATTCCCCTCCCTTCATCCCCTCCTTCCATCCCTTACCCTTCCCTCACACACTGTAACCCCCTCTTCCTTCTCTCTGTCTCTCCCTCACCCTTTCCATCCTCTCCCTCACACCTGAACAACACCCTCCCTCCCGCCTTCCCTCACACACCCATCCATCCCATATGAATTATTTATACCACATGTTGATAGAATTAATAATAAGGCTTCAATTATCTAATACCAACATAGATAATTATGACTTTACATTAATACACACACAATGTTATGTGATTATTTACCCTTTATCTCATTTCTTATTTATCTATACTTCCTCTTCTTATCTTCCCTCGTTCCTCCTCCTCCTCCTCCTCCTATTCCCTTCTTCACTATCCTCTTCTCCTCTTCTTCCTCCTTTCCTCTCTTTACTAAATTACACTTATAATAAGGTAATTGCAGGTGTCTTAAAGTAAGGTACATCTTTTTTCTGTCTCGCTCCGGGTTATTCCTTCCTGGCGCATTCCCTCACACACACACACACACACACAAATGCTACATCGGTGTGAAGAAGAGAGGAGGAGGAGGAAGAGATGCAGAGAGGAGAGAGAGAGAGAAGAAAGAAAGAAGGGAATAAGGGAAGACCTGGAGTAATTTTCCCTAATCTGTACAATTACCAATATGTGTACACGGTCTTATGTGAATGGCGGTCTGTAGTGACTGTCTTGATGGCTCTGATATTTTGTTTTTTCTCACAGGATTTTATAACTCATGGGCTTGTTTATGTCTCATTAATAGAAGAGAATAGAGATTATTTATTTTTGCATATTGTTTTGTCTTTTATTTTATCTGATTTAAATGTCAGTTTGTTCTAAAAAAAATTGAATTTATACAATTTTTTTTAATTTCAAGAACACTAATATACCTACGATTTATAAAGTTAATAATTTTTATATTGTATTTTAATTAACGATAATGATTTTTTTTATTATATCTTATACTAAAAAAAAATACTTACATATGAAAAAATTTAACATTATATTTTAGTTAAGAATAAAATATTTCACGTTATCTCCCGTGTTCAAGTTTGAAGACCCAATAAAAATGATCACTAGTTAAAGATGCAATAGCTTTTATTTAATCTTTTATTTAGCTTTTATTTAGCTTTTATTTATCTATCCCAAACGATTACAGGACGTCTCTCCTTATTTTCCTGATTATGTCACTGACAGACAAACATATTTTCCTTGACTCATGAAACATCTACATTAAAAAAAAAAAGTAAATAAATATGAAAAAATAAATCGATTTCTTTAGCTGTCAAAATCTTTCTTCTTTTTTTACAGGAAAGTTTTACCGTATTGATATAATCGACGTCAGGGAAAAAACATGTTGGGAATTATGAAGATTTAACGAATAAGTGATAATAGGTAGAATAATTTACAGCCCTTGGTAGTGCTGTGTGACGGGTTGTGCTGTGTGACGGTTGGTGCTGTGTGACGCGGTGATTATAGACATGTGATGCTGTGTGACGCTGCGATTATGGACGTGTGGTGCTGTGTGACGCTGCGATTATGGACGTGTGGTGCTGTGTGACGTGGCGATAATAGACTATAGTGCTGTGTGACGCGGCGATTATAGACGTGTAGTGCTGTGTGACATGTAGTGCTGTGTGACGGGTTGTGCTGTGTGACGGGTTGTGCTGTGTGACGGGTGGACTGTGACGTGACGATTATACATAGACTATAGTGCTGTGTGACGGGTGGTGCTGTGACGCGGCAATTATAGGCGTGTGGTGCTGTGTGTGACGGGTGGTGCTGTGACGCGGCAATTATAGACGCGTGGTGCTGTGTGACGGGTTGTGCTGTGTGACGGGTTGTGCTGTGTGACGGGTGGTGCTGTGACGCGGCAATTATGGCGTGTGGTGCTGTGTGACGGGTGGTACTGTGACATTGCGATTATACATAGACTATAGTGCTGTGTGACGGGTGGTGCTGTGACGCGGCAATTATAGGCGTGTGGTGCTGTGACGGTTGTGCTGTGTGACGGGTGGTGCTGTGTGACGCGGTGATTATGGACGCGTAGCGCTGTGGGTCGCGGTGATTATAGACGCGTAGTGTTGTGTGTCGCGGTGATTATAGACTATAGAGCTGTGTGACGGGTGTGCTGTGTGACGCGGCGTTATAGACGCGTAGTGTTGTGTGACGCTGTGATTATAGACGTGTAGTGTTGTGTGTCGCGGTGATTATAGACGTGCGGTGCTGTGTGACGCGGTGATTATGACGCGTAGTGTTGTGTATCGCGGTGATTATAGACTATAGAGCTATGTGACGCGGTGATTATAGACGCGTAGTGTTGTGTATCGCGGTGATTATAGACTATAGAGCTGTGTGACGCTGTGTATTATAGACGCGTAGTGCTGTGTGACGCTGTGATTATAGACGCGTAGTGCTGTGTGACGCTGTGATTATAGACGCGTAGTGCTGTGTGACGCTGTGATTATAGACGCGTAGTGCTGTGTGACGCTGTGATTATAGACGCGTACTGCTGTGTGGCGCGTGTGTGGGCGCTGTGATTATAGACACGTAGTGCTGTGTGACGCTGTGATTATAGACGCGTAGTGCTGTGTGGCGCTGTGATTATAGACGTAGTGCTGTGTAGTGCTGTGATGCGCTGTGATTATAGACGCGTAGTGCTGTGTGGCGCTGTGATTATAGACGCGTAGTGCTGGCTTAACGCTGTGATTATAGACGCGTACTGCTGTGTGGCGCTGTGATTATGACGTAGTGCTGTGTGACGCTGTGATTATAGACGCGTGTGCTGTGTGGCGCTGTGATTATAGACACGTAGTGCTGTGGCGCTGTGATGCAGACACGTAGTGCTGTGTGGCGCGTGATTATAGACGCGTAGTGCTGTGTGACGCTGCGATTATAGACGCGTAGTGCTGTGTGACGCTGTGATTATAGACGCGTAGTGCTGTGTAACGCTGTGATTATAGACGCGTACTGCTGTGTGGCGCTGTGATTATAGACACGTAGTGCTGTGTGACGCTGTGATTATAGACGCGTAGTGCTGTGTGGCGCTGTGATTATAGACACGTAGTGCTGTGTGGCGCTGTGATTATAGACACGTAGTGCTGTGCGCTGTGATTATAGACGCGTAGTGCTGTGTGGCGCTGTGATTATAGACGCGTAGTGCTGTGTGACGCTGTGATTATAGACGCGTGCTGTGTGGCGCTGTGATTATAGGACGCGTAGTGCTGTGTGACGCTGTGATTATAGACGCGTATTGCTGTGTGGCGCTGTGATTATAGACACGTAGTGCTGTGTGACGCTGTGATTATAGACGCGTAGTGCTGTGTGACGCTGTGATTATAGACGCGTAGGGCTGTGTGACGCGGCGATTATATAAACCTCGTAGTGCTAGTCGTGACAGAATATTTGTGACGTAGTGTATATGTGTGTGTGACGGAGTTTTTGCGCCAGAGTGAGTGTGACGCGTAGTGTTTGTGACGCACTGTTTTTTACTCACTCCGTTCGCCTCTCCTGTGTTTTCATTTGACTCTCTCTCTCTCTCTCTCTCTCTCTTTCATTTCCTTTACTTATTTTTATCACCCTTTGTCACTCTCCCTCTCCCTCTCCTTCAGTCGTTAGTTTTATTTCAAATTTATTCTGTTTTGTTGAGTTTTATGAAGTTTTATTTAATTCTAATATTTATTTTTAAGTTTGATAATTTCAATTTTATTCAAATATTAATTTTTTTTCACGTATTCAATTTTATTCAGTTTTAATAATTATTTAATTTTATTCATTTCTTTAGGTTTTATTTAGTTTTCTTCATTATGTTTATTTTTATACAGTTTTACTCACTGTTATTTAATTTATTTATATTATACAGTTTTATTTAGTTAACTCAGTGAATAAACAATATTTTGGGGGGCATATTATAAAAATCGACAAAAGAATAAAAATTTAGAGGATTTTTATCTTAGTTTCATAAAATATCACAAATAAAATCTCATATAAAAATCTACACTAATAATATTAAAACTTTTCTCAATGTTTACAAAAAAAATTAAATACCTTACCAATGTTATCATATTTGCGGGTTACCCTTCGTATCTCTGTAAATAAAAAATAATGTTGACATATTCGTATCCTTGTTTTCAATACGGACTATAACGTTAAATATTCCAATTGTCACTCAACCCTTAGGCTGAATTTTAATAGATTGTTGTGGTGAATGTTTGGGCCGGGGTGAAAATAATGCTAAGTACTTTGATATGGCGTTAAATAATATAGGATTGTGGGGCTTTTTTTTCATAGTTTTAACGTGCTTTTACC